CGTGGGAGTCCAGCAACATAGCCATTACGCTAACTGCTGGTTCCCGAAAAAATTTTTTTTTTAAGAGAGATTTCTGCTAGGGGGAGTATGTACTTGCCGGAGTTACAGAGAGATAGAAACCAAGAAATCCCCTAGGGGGATGGCCACACCACAATCCCTTCTCCTCTGCGTGCACACACACTCTTCTTGGGACTTTTTTGGGCACGACCCAGGACCAGAAAAGCAAGTGGACCACATAGGAGCCCAGTGATGTAACCACTGCGCCACCTGCTGGAACCCCAAGAATTCTTAAGTACAAGGCAAGAAGAACCCAGAAGCAAATGACCACACATTCTTCAAGTTCCCTGTGCTTTGTAGGCCCTACGGAAATGGCAGAGTAAGGAGAGATCATCTGGAGAGAGAAAGGTAGCAAAGTTGGACCGGGCCAAATCAGGCCAAACAGGATGGGTCCTCTTCTACCACTTAGTTCCCCAGCAGCAGCCCAGCTCCTGTCCCAAAGTTACTCCCAACCTTATTCGTTTTTATTTCTCAAATAAAGAAACAGCAGAATCCAGTAGTCTGCCAAGGATGTCACGGAATATTTCGGAACTTCAGAATGATTGTCCTCTTCATGCTACTTTACCACTGGCATTAAGCACTGTAAAATGTGATGTTTTTTGGCCAGCCCCACAGCTAGTGATCAAGAAGCCAGGTGCCACAGGTTCAAATACTGGATCCAGCAGCTTGAAAAACACACCAGGAATAGGGTCAGCAGGTGATATGGTAATTAAGGTGCTAGAGTCCCAAGTGGTCAATCACGGTGTCAGTCCCAGACCTGGTGGCTTGAAATTCATGCTGGGTGTGTGCATACATGTCCACGACCTATGGAGAACTTGAAGAAAAGGGACTGTGGCATGGTTATCCTGCCCTGGGAGTGATTTTTCACTTTCCCTCTCATTGTCTTTCTCCAGCAACAGCACAGGCCCTTTGGCAAAAATCTAAAAATCAACAGGGACCAGCAGATGGTACAGTAGTTATATTGCTGGACTCCCATGTAGTGGACTGTGGTTCCAGTACTGGACCCAGTGGCTTAAAACTCACTCCAGGCGCATGTGCATGTGTACCCAAAAATCCAAAGAGAAGAATGGAGGAGAAGGGATTGCAGGGTGGCCATTCTCTCTGAGGGGTGATTTCTCGCTTTCTATTTCTCTACCAAGTGAGTGTGCCGTATAGTAAAAATTTCTCTTAAAACAACAAAAATAAAGGTGTGTGTGCATGCATGTCCAAAATCCCAACAGGCTGGAGAAATGGAGATGGGACTGCAGCATGACCACGCCCAACTGAGGGTGCTTTCTCCCTTCTCTCTGGCAAGTACACATACTCTCCGGCAACTAAGAAACAAGAAAAAAACGAAATACTCAATGTGCTATGAAACAAGAACAGGTGCATATACATAGCACTCAACACCACAAAGGCGAGGATATACACTCTATACAAGCTGTACCAAAGTCACAGGACTGAGGTTTGGGGGACTTATTGTCTCTCTTTTTTCCTTTAATTTTCACCTCTCAATCAGTTCCTAGACTATCAGGATCCAATTTGATGACAGAGGACTCTTGGTGATAAAAGGTTCACATTACAAAAAAGAGTCAGAGATAAAGAGCCAGAGAGAGGAAACCAGCAGTTAGTGTAATGGCTATGTCGCTGGACTCCCACGTAGTCGACCGCGGTTCATG